TATATATATATATATTCATTTATGCTATTTTTTATAAATAAAATAATTACTTTTTCGATATTTCAAATTTATTGATGGAATCAAATAAATTCATGTTAAAGAAAAAAAAATGGATACTTATATACATATCACCGTGTTTCATGTATTTAATGTCTAACGATTAAACTTCAATTTTTACATATATGCATAAATATCTGTATTTCACCTTTTGAAAATTAAAATAATATTATTTCTTATGTGACATGCAAGTTTTGGGTGTATAAATATAAAAATTAAAGTTTAGATGATAGATATATAAATAAATAGGATTGGGAAGATATGTATGTAATGTATATTCCCTAGAAAATTATTTTCCACTTCAATCAATCCAATAAGTTTTTAGCCTAAATTTCTCCTATGCTCCAAAAATTTTCATAAAAAAAAGTAAATGAACTCCAAATATGAGAACTTCGTATATCCATTCCCACAAACTGCACTGCACATTTAAAAGCATAATTCAAATTACACGTTTAGAGTTTTTTTAGATTAACCGCAACATTTTAAAAAGATGGTTGTAAAGTTGTGATTGAAATATAAACTTCTTAGAATATTGCAGTGATAGCTATAAATACTTTTTTTTTCAATATAATCATACAACATTTTTTTTTACAGCTATCGTGCTTTGACATATCATGTTGAAAAAAACAGCGTCCCACCATTAAATTTTCTAGAAAGTAGCAAGAAATCGGTTTCTCAAACATAACTATGATGACAGTCTGAAACATAAAACTAACATAAAACTATTCCAGACGAACACTCTGAAAATCCTCACTTACTTAACGTGTTCGACCGTAAAGAGAGCGAGTCGAAAGCATGATGAGGAAAATGAGAGTAACAGAGGCTGATATTGCGAGAATGAGAGAGCCCTCAATTTGCTTGCAAAATTTGTCAAACATGTTGCATATTTCCATCCACCCCACATGAGCATTTCCCTTCTCCCCAACATAACCAATGGCCGCTGCAGCTCCAACAGCAGAAGCCACCACACCAAACATTAGCTGCATCACATTAATTGAATTATTTATTTATGTTTGTTGTACTAAAAACTTTAGTAAAATAAAATTTATAACCATATGTATAGGGCTGTAAACGAGCCGAGCCTGAGCGAGCCCAGGCCCGGCTCGTGTTCGGCTCGCTCGAATCTGGCTCGTGTTCGAAATCGGCTCGTGTTCGAAATGGCTCGTGAACAGTGTGTTCGTGTTCGGCTCGAATAACATTTTCATGTTCGTG